GAAAGTCCTATGTCACCCCACCCACTACACATAACCACCAAGTCTACCGATCGCTGTTGGATACGTTGTTTACATGCAAATAGTCCTATATGACACAGCCTACCTCTATTAATGTACTAGCATGAGCGATACTCATCGTATATCATCTGATACTATCACCATGGCTCGCGTGGAGAGAGACTTCGCTTCACAGAGTACGGTTTCATATGAAGAGGACACTGATTACGAGCCAGAATCTCTGAACGGTATTCAGTTTATGTTCAACCCGGTTACCAACGATGTAGCTGAGTACCTTTCAAAGAAACTGCTTTCGAGCCAAGACGATCACGAGCTCGGTGTGCTGGGGACACCCTGCGCAATTGTAAAGACGCTGGGCGACGGAAACTGCTTTTTTAGAGCAGTTAGTCAAGTTATCGCTGGTACGGGCGAGCATCACGCTGCGATCAGATACGCTGCTGTGACACAGCTCGAATCACACCCTGAGCTCTACACGTCTTTGCTTCGACCAGGATACCATTCAGTACCAGCCTATGTCAGCGCTTCTAACATGAGACATCTCGGTGTGTGGGCTACCGAAGTGGAAATACAGGCGACCGCGGATTTCCTCGGGTTGTCCATATACATATTACGAGAACCGCTGGCTTAGGTTTCTCGGCAAAGGCTCACAACTCCTGAAACAAGGGATATATTTAGAGAACACCAAAGGACACTACGATCCGGTAGTGTGCGTGAAACGAGGCTCCTCCTCGCTCTGTTACGGATACTGTGTAGTGGACGCCCGTGCGCTCGTGTACTGTAACGCGGAAGACTCGCGTAGGAGAGACGCGATGATTAGAGAAATCCAAGACATGGAATTTTACACCAGGCACCGATACGAGTACCTAGGCGATCCGATCACTGACGATTCCACGGATTCTGCACAAGATACAGACTCTCGGTCTTCCACTCCTGACCCGATGGAAGGAACCGAGTACGAGCAGAGCGAGGGGGATAGTGTTCAGGGTGAACAAAGTCGCATGCGGAGTAGCCCGATACGATCAGTTTTTCATCCGATGACTAATGCGCTCCGCATACAAGCGATGGTACAGTCGTGCGTTACCACATTAGGTAATCGATGGTGGGGTTCTGTCTCGGAGTACAGGATTGAAAGTTTCTTAAAACGTACGTCTGTGAACATTGGAGCAATTGTCATCTCTGCGTACAGAGGCGAGTTACCCCACGGCCTGTGTAGTGTTATGGTCAAGCTTTCTACGGGACTGTTGCGGTGTTCCGTGGTCGCTTCGGGGAACTGGTACAGATGTACAGACTTTGTACAACGTGAGTATGAGACCGTAAATGACCTGGTACACGCGTTGCAGGAGGAACTTGATTACGGATACCTGGTATCGGTGGAGGACCTTGACAATATGAACGCTGCAGAGAATGATTGGTGCGTACTCTCGAATACATGGCCATCGTTCATCGCGTGGCTTGGAGCTAGGTGGTGGGCCAATGCGCCTAGAGAATACATCGAATCGTACATGTTGAAACAGTCTAAGGACGGAATCTCAAGTGGTGAACCTGGGGCTATAATGGTTGTATCCGAATACACAGGGTCCGCGAAAGGTGCGGTGTGCGCGATACACACCCTGAGCAAGAATCGCGTGCATACTGCCCCGGTGCTGCTAACGCGAAACCGATACCTGTGTCCGTTCTCTAAACGCTTGTACGCGGACCCGATTGATATGATAAGACGCATCAATAGCTCCGTGACACGAGTTCGGTTGCTTAACAAACCGCCCAATGCACCCGTTGCACCATCCAGCGCGTTTTCCGTTTCGCATGTAGCCAGCGAAATGGCACAAATGTCCACGATACTAGGCAACGCTTGGTTGGGAGTACAGACCGGATCTGAAGACTCGCAATGTATACATGAACAGGTGCAGGATTTGATCATGCCTGTATTTCTACTGCAGCAGAACCAACATTCGTTTCCTTGCGTTGCGATACATTATACAGATACGGACCGTCTCGGATATCTGTTTCACATAGTACCCGTGATCGGAGAGAAATTCGTGGTCACCTTCGATGAGGTCGGATTTAACATCGAACCCGGTGTTCATTTCCCTCATGTGCAAGATGCACTGAATTACCTGAAAAACGCGCATCAGCTAACGTTCGAATACCAATGCGCACCGAGCGATCATACTCAAGAAGGACATGTCGATTCAACTTCTCTGTTATGAATAAACAAAGTGTATCGGACTAACCGAACACTGCAACGTAACGGTAATCCAGCCGAACATACATAATCTGATACTCACGAACGAGAACGCGCGAGGTCGGTGAAAAACATTTACTAACCCTAACACGATCACGCGTGTTTCACGATAGAAAAAAAGGACGCTACTCAAAAACACGTACGCACTCCTCCGAGTACATACGCTTCGTATGTACTCGCAGCACTGCGTTGGGATCCAGTAACTGCTTTGTATATCATAACAGGGTGAACTGTGAGTGGTTCTTAAACACCACAAAAAGAAACGTGAGGACAGCGCGTCCTGGAACACAATATATTCAGCAACCAAACTATATAGTAAGAGAGCCGCCTTCATCCGTGTCTCCGTTTTTTGGCTTTTTACTCTCATTCTCGTTTCTGTAACAACATGACACACGCTCTGCCGGACTCGCGGTACCTGAGTCGGATCGAGAAGCTTATGCGTGACCACTTCGATGGGTTTCGGTTAGACTCGAGTTACCAACAGCTCTCAGTTAATCTCGTGTTCTACACGTGGGTTGCAGTCCAGGGCGTCGGCATCCCGGACGGTACGGTGCTGTTCAACGGAAAGGTCCTAGATTACGTGTCCCAGATCAAGCGACAAGCGATCATGTTGGAAGCTCAACGTATCCCAAGCGCAATCGTATACTCTCGGCTGAACCTTCCGGATCATGAAGAGAAGGCTCTCTTTGCGAACTTCCGCGGTGTTGGGAACCTCGTGCTGCTGTGCCTCGAGGACATGCCGCACTCGATACCGCCTAGCTCCTACTCGCAGAACTACGTGCCTGATTTGGAATTGCTGGACCACCTGCGTTTGGCGGTGATCAAACACGCTCCCGCTGTGCTGCACGAGTTGAGACGTAAGGCCCTACGGGAACGCAAGGAACAGTATGTCTCGTTCCTAAACGGGAATGGCGGGAACGCAATCATGTACGCAGACATGGACATAGAGTTTACCGCCGACAGGGTGCCCGTGGTGTTCGCAAAGGACGGAATGTGCTCGTACCCGGACCTGAGCGCAGTCTTCACTGCCGAGAACTATCCTACCGAGAACCTAAGTCCCGAGCTCGTGAAGACGATGGAGAACCACAGCGGAGTGTTCCTGAGGGGTTGGAAAACCGTATCAGAGTACGTTTTGAGCGGCAAAGCGTTTGAAGTGGCCATTGCGATCGCAAGGGCGCTGGGGAGAACGTACGTTCCTTGCATTGCTCGTGGAGAGAACAGTATGCTGCTGGTCGCGTACTCTTCTATACCCATGTTCAGTAAGCTGGTCCATGATGATGATATAATCGTGGACCTACACAGGAACGATACGGAGTTCTGGCAAGAGAACCACACTCTAATATACTTGCAGCTGCTACCTTACATGAAACACAGGGGCGATAGGACTTGGGTAAAGCCCGATGATCCGGATTTGTGAGGAGCCGGGTTGGGACAAATGAGATATTATTACCAACCTATGTACGTGTATGAGTGCTGTAAAGGAAATGTCTATGAGTACTGGTCCTGTTATGAAAATGACTCGTTCCTAACATAATCTACCCATACACCCACAACCCAAGAACGAGAGTGTTCCGCTATACTGTACGTTTCTTTTCCCTGTGATCATATGATTCTGTGTGTGAACATATTGAAATAAAAAGTCACCATAATGGTACACGTTTGTACGTTGCTTTATTTCCATTATAGTCCTTATACATTCTCATCTAATCCGAAAGACCCACTGTCTAATCATCGTGCTCAAGAATGCGGAGACTCAACTAACTGACTTGGACATGATCGACCAATCTTACTGCTACCATAACATATGTAAAGTCTTCGATACCCAGAATGTGACATACAGGGTTACCTTAATGAACCAGAATGAGGTCTACAAATACAAAGGTGACTGTATGAACATTACACTGGTTCGCTATTACGGGAAAGGTAAACCGACCGTATCAGTCTATTCTGTGGTTTTTGAGTGGGCATCTACGAGCATCCGTTCATTGCTAACCGCTAAATCATGCACACGTTACCGGTGCGGATCTCGGATACTGAAAGAATGCGCATCTGGACGGTATATGAATGACACCAGCATACCTTTGCTCAAGAGGCCATTCTACGCTGCGTGTCCATTGGACTGTACCGGTTACAACAGAACCACGGGCGCTAAAGTACATTCGTTAGGTCTCAGTATACTGAATCCTAACGAGCGTATGTTGATGGATCCTACTGATGTTAATGTTCTACCTTTGTATCGAGAGAAGCTTGGAGAGATGGTTTAGGTCCACTCTATGTGTCTAAACATTTCCTTATACACAATATTTAACTGTGACCAATGGAAAATATATGTGTATCTGAGTTACCTGATCCATGCCGTTGTTGTTACCGTGTTACCTGATTACTCTCGTATAGCTGTACCCAAACCCAAGATCACTTGTGTGGCCCTAGTATCATGATGTATGTTCGTTTCATGTAATCGTATGATTCTGTAAGAATGCTTTGTTGCCTTATTCAGTACTATCTACTATTGTTTGTGAGCTGTACAATGTGTACGTTTGTTTATAATCATATGATCCTATGTGAGCATGCTTCGTTGTCCTATTCGTTACTATGTGCTATTGTTTCACTCTGTACAACGTGTATACCTATGGTTTCATACACACGTATGCTCCTGTATGGAAATATGTTTGTAGCGATATCGTTATTATCATATAACACATTGAAATAAACTTGATCACAATGGCACATGTGTTGTATGTTACTTTATTTGCAATATGCTCGTTCTTCTTCATTACACAACCCTAAACCAAAGCTCAGCCTTTAATCAGAGTCATCGAGGTAGACCACTTCGGTTCTAGATCTGCGACTCCACAACCACCAAGGTTGCCTTCTCCTGCTCAACCCGAAACCAAAGCTCGTCTTTTAATCAGAGTCGTCGAGGTAGACCACTTCGGTTCCAGATCTGCGATTCCAGAACCCAGAAGGTATCACCCGTCTCCTGTTACGTCTGCGGAGGCTCCTTTCGCGATTCGAATGTGGTTCGAGCCACACTCCAAGTGTAGATTCGTCTTGTACCTCTCGATCTGATCTAGATGTACAACAGGCACATACCCGTGCGGTATTTGGTTTTACGGTCATCTTGGGTACGTTTCTCTTGTACCTCTGCCAATAATCGGGTTTAGAGTCTATGGGTTCATGAGTTAAGGTTTGTACTTGTCTGTTCGGTCTGTTCTCTGTTGACTCTTCCTGATCTTCAGTTGAACGCGGAGCCGGAGCAGATGCAATCTCTACATCCAAGAGGGGGTAAAACAGGTTCATGTCACCAGATCTCACATTTCTTGTAGCCATGATGTTACCTATAGCATCTCCAGAGTAAAAGTGACAACTGACTCTCCGCTTGCACAACAGATAAATAGATAAGTTCAAGCACCCGTTCCCTTCCCCTTCGCTCTCTCGCGCGTGCCCCCGCTTTTAGAATTAAGACTTGGATAGACGCTCGGGATCTGGACTCGTGAGGCGCCGAGTTGGACCGATTACAAGTTACCACATTATGAACGTGTGTGCTGTATATGAAAACAATGTCTATGGTTACCGGTCCTGGTATGACAATACGATTCTTTCCCAATGCAATGTACCTTCCCCAACGCTCGGTCACAGTCCCACTCAAGCGTGGTCACCCAGTACCCGTGTAGTTTCAATAAATGACATCCTGTGATACGTTGGTGTGACATCGTTCCGCGCTATGCTGTACTTTGTTCTATGCGATCATATGCTTCTGTGAACATACTGAAATAAACAGTCACCACAGTGGTACACGGCTGTACGTTGCTTTATTGACACTACAATTCCCCTTTCATTCACATGCAACCCCGAAAAGAGAAGCTCTATACAGCACGAAGCGGACCACTCTCAGCAGGTGCAAATGCTGTTAACCCATCATCTCTGCCTCTGTGTACGTATCTCGTGTATACGGAGCTTGTTACGTTTAAGATGTGTTGTATTTATGAAGCCAACGGTACCCAGCCCTTCTCGGCTGATACACAAAATAAGGAATCTCGTTGGACACTGCTACATTATAAGCAGTACAGATATTCCCTGTCTTGTAAGCCATGGGGTCATTTGCAAGGAAGTCAACCGCGTTGGCTGCGCGCATGTTATCCTCGCGCATCGTCGGAGGCAAGGAGGCCGTGACGCGGTACATGCTGGACAAGTTTCAGTACACGATTCCCGAAGACTATATCACGCTAACGCCCGATATAATAATGTACACCTGGGTTAGCGTATTCGGTCGTCCCATGCCAGCGGGGAGACCCGGAGAGAGACACAACTATGTGGCCAGTATAACGCATCAAGCACGGACGATGCGAGACTACGTACATGTTCTATTTTATTCTAGGTGGAACATGACCAACGAGGAAGAGATGCTCGGTCAGGTCCGAGGGGAAAATCTAATTCCCGTGTGTCTCGAAGATCTACCCGATCTGTATCCACCGGATGGGTATAACTGGGTGGTGGAGGAATATAACAGAGTCTACTATATGGACTATCTGAGGCAGCTCGCCATGTACGAGGCCCCTAGGTTCAGAGACGTGGTGAGAGCCAAGTGCAGCGCGGAGCGCGCCTCCGTTTTGACTGGTAACGCGCTGATGTATGTGGACATGGATATCCGGTTTTACAACCCACCCCGGGAGTGGATCTCCCCTGAGGGCATGCTCACGTTTATGGACGTACAGGACATGGACATTGTGCGCATGGTCAGGCAGAATGATAGGGACTTGTACTCTTTGGACACGAGGGTGATAGAGCGGGCAGGCATCCAGGAAGAAAACTGTATGGTAATGGTCGGGTATGAATATGCTAAGCTGTTCCAGCGTCGCATTTCCGGACCCATGGTGCGATTCAACGTTCTGAGGGGACGCGATACTGGGATAAACGCGATCATGTGTTTCTACCAACAGGCCTCTTGTATCTCACACGGGAAGCACTGGACCCACGGCTGGTGGGCCGCGGTGGATGAATATGTAGTGTAATGTGGTTGTCCATATACGTGCTAAAGTACATGCAATAAAGATCACAACTGTAACTCTCTGTGTTGTTTCTCACTCTTCTGGTGTCCGAAACGGGAATCGAGCCCGAGCCCCCTTCGCTCTCTCGCGCGTGCCCCCCTTTTAGAATTGGATTTTAAAAACGCCCCCTAGAGGGCTCACGTTACGTATGTGTGCTCGGATGAGAATGTCTTGAGCGTTAACCCTCCCGCTATCTCGATCTTCGTTCATCTCCTCCGTGTGTACCACGCGCACGCGCTCACACGCACGAAGGGCAGTACGGAAGCGCGCAGCTCCTGCACACGTACTTGCTGCAGCCTCGGCACGTGGTGAAGGTTTTGCTGTCTTTTTTAGCGGGGCATATCTGACACCGCTTCCTCTTGCTGGCTTGGGGTTTCTGCTGCTGCTGGAGCGGTTCGGTTCTGTCACGTGACCCAGTTTCAGAGGGGTCCTCTCGCGAAGGCGGTTGTGGATGAGGATGAGCACGAGAATGCGGACGAGACTCGCACCGAGCCCCGCTCGCGTTCGCGTTCGCGCTCGCAGCGGTTCTCACGCATCGGACCAGCGCGAGCGAGGCCTCGGAGCGGGGCAGCCCGCGTCTTTTCTCTATAAGAGGGGCCACGAGCGCTTTACCCAGCTGCTCGAGGAAGAACCTGCGCTTGTTGCGATGCCCGGACAGCCAGCCCGGGTTCGTTTCTCGCCATATCACGTAAGCGTTGTACGCGGACACGTCGAGTATGTTGTGGAACACGGCCACGGGCCAGCGGGAGGTCATCCTCCTGCAACTGTAGGTGGCCACCAGCTTGTCCAGGTTGTCGACTCCTCCCTTGGTCGCGTTGTACTTGAGCACCAGCTCGGGTTTGCGATCGGGGCGCTCGCTGAGTCCGCTCGCGGTGAACGATGAAGCTGCCGCTGAGGATGATGGTCCTGCGGTTCGAGAGCGCCACGGTAGCGTAGTCATCACCAGCACGTTCTTGTTTTTCTTCGGTACGTACGAGACCAGCGTGGTGGTTCTGTTTCCTCCCGGTCCCGGTCCGGTAGCGAACGCGAACTCGGAGGAGAATGCGGCTCTACCTTTAGCGGAGATGAGCGCGGTAGGGAGCTCGGGTCTGTTCTTCCTAACGGTTCCGAGCATGGTCAGGTTCGCGTCTAGGAGCCGCTGGCCGAGCTCGTAGGACGTGAAGAAGTTGTCGCAGGTCACGTTGCGCGGTCCGAGGAGGTCGGCCGTTAGATCCAGTACCACGCGCGTGCCTTGGTTTTTTTCGGGACGCGCGCGGGTCGCTGCTGAAGACGATAGACTAGTAGACTCTCCGGTGGTGGTAGTAGTGTTACAGGGTTTATTATCTTTCCCCAGGTAGACCTGCATCTTCCACGCGTAGCTGGATTTGGCATCGCACAGAACCCAAGACTTGATCCCGTATTTGGCCGGTTTGCTGGGCATGTATTGTCTGAAGGGGCAGCGACCTGGAGAGGAAACGTGAGGAGAGGAGAGGAGAGGAGAGGAGAGGGGATTTTTAGCTTAGGACAAATAATAGAGAAGCTGACACACGCACGCACCCACGCACGCTCGTAAATGTAACTGCCAACGCTCTCTATAATATTATATTAGACTTGTGAACGGTGCTGTGCGTTTATGTATTTCGCGTTCCTTCTTTCTCGTAACACACATAAAAGAAAAAAAAAACCACCTAAACAACCGATACAAGCTAATAAACGGGCCACGCGATTAGCGCGATACCACCACCACGTACCTCTGAAGGGGACCAGCTGTTCGTCCACGGTGACATCGGGTCCGGGGTTGTACATGTAGGGCAGCCTGTCGGCCCACCTGTCCCAGAGTTCTCTCACCGCGGCGAGCTTATCCGAGGATCTCCTCTGCGCCCTCGTCTCGCGGTCGTCGAAGCGCAGCAGCGTAGAGTACGCGTAGAACGCTTTCAGTGGCATGGTCGCTCGGAATATCGAGCGTCCGCTCTCCGCGTCCCACAGGCTCGCCGCGGCCTCTCCCCGGGACCTGTACACGCCCGCGAGGATGAGGAGGCCCGCGTAAGCGCGCAGCTCCGCTTCGCCCATGCCCGCTTTCCACCACGGGTTGCGCAGACCGTAGCTCGTGCGCTCGGCATGCAGGTTCGTCATCTCCAAGACGAGCGCACGGATCGCGCGCGTAAAGAAGAGCTCGAACGCGGACGGTATGTCGCTCACCAGGGAAAGCGCGTACGGGGTGGGTCCGGGCGGCGGGGGATTGGGGGTGCGAGTACGAGAAGCATGATGATTATTATTATTATTATGATGATGAGGAATATGAGGGGCAGCGGTCGCTGAAGAGACATCGCGCGGAGCGGTGCGCGTCCAGGTGAAAGCTCCGTTTTTGGACGCGAGGTCGCTCCTGGGTAGTGGTTGCGTGCGCGATGGTTCTTCTTCTTCTTCTTCTTCTTCTTCTTCTTCTTCTTCTTCTTCTTCTTCTTCTTCTTGTCTTCTTCGTTGTCTTCTTCGTCTTCTTCTTCGTCTTCTTCTTCTCCGTTGTCTTCTTCGCCACCACCTATTTGCTGCAGTTCGCACTCTTCGCGGTCCTCGTAATCGTACTCGCTGTCCGAGTGGGATCCGTTACCGCTAGCCTCGTTGCGCGCCTGCGCGGGATTCTCCATGGTTACGGTCTGTGGCTTCGATGACCTTTGCGTGAACCCGCGTGTCCGTTAATAATAGGGTTACGCGCTCGGGGTTGAGGGTCAGCCTGACCCGCGTGGGGCTTTGTTCGCTTATATATCACCCGGGTCAGCCTGACCCTAAAGGGCTTCGTTCGCTTTATATCACGCGGGTCAGCCTGACCCTCAACCCCGAGCGCTCGTAATAATGTCATCAAATGTAATGCGAACGGTTTTGTAGTGCGGCCGGGTCAGGATGACCCCCCATGGCAGGCCAGGTTACAGTAAACCGTATGAGCGTATCCTGTGAACGGTTTTTTTTTGTTAGCGCGGCCGGGTCAGGGTGACCCATGGCAGGCCAGGTTACGGTAGACCGTATGAGCGTATCCTCTCGTAGCGTGTAAAGCGTATGATCGTATCCTGTGAACGGTTTTTTTTGGTTAGCGCGGCCGGGTCAGGGTGACCCATGGCAGGCTAGGTTACGGTAAACCGTATGAGCGTATCCTCTCGTAGCGTACGCGAGAGGGAAAGGGTGCTCGAGGGTCTATCTGACCCGATAGAAGACAAGTCTTGTTTTTGTGTTGTTTTTGTTTTGTTACTCGCCGGTCTTGTACTCCGCGGGTCAGGTTGACCCCCGTGTCTCTCTGTTGTTGCTGCTGCGGGTCACGGTGACCCAGACGGACACGCGTTTGGCTCTCTCTCTCTCTCTCTCTCTCTCTCTCTCTCTCTCTCTCTCTCTCTCTCTCTCTCTCTCTCTCTCTCTCTCTCTCTCTCTCTCTCTCTCTCTCTCGGGTCACCCTGACCCTCCGAGGCAGGCCTACAACATCAGCTACCGCTCTCTTTACTATTCTCTTTACTATTCTCTTTACTATTCTCTCTACTATTCCCGTTACTATTCTCTCTACTTCTCTCTACCTCTCTCTGCCTCTCTCGCTCGCTCACGGACCACTCTACGCTCTCCAATCTGTACTTTTCCCCAACAACTCGTATTCGTTCATGACACGTAAGCGAGAGAAACAGCGGCCTCCCGCGGGGTCACACGGACCCGGAAGGGTAGCGCGAGGGTTAACAACTCTGAAGACACTACCAGCCATGTCTTCCTTCTCTTTTCACGTAGACGCTCCGACAGACAGTGCTTTCAGTTTGCTGCATGCATGGACACAGAACTGCGGTACAGCACACAGTAACGATGAAATGTGTGCTGTTCTCACATTCTTCCTCTGTATGTACACATAAACAAGAAGGCAGGGAAATATAAAAGGAATTTATTTTATTGTTTGGGTACATTATTGTTCAGTGTACATGCTCACATCTGAACCAAACTTTGCGTACTTGATAACTCTCTGACCCCCAGACATCTACACGTCAATACCGATTTATATTCATAGCGGCAAGTGCTATGTAGCTCCACATAGGGGACACAGGAAGTGACATATAGCACCTTCATGCGGCGACATAACCGCGTAGGAAATTCACAGCCGCACCGGCAGAGCTCCAGAATATGCAACTCGGCCGGCTCACACGCGGACGCGCTTACAAGTGCGAGGGCCCGCCCAACGCTGCTTGCAGCTTTAATATATATATATTTTTTATTTTCTGCAAAGTAGGCCCAAATGACATGGCCTAAACATACTCGAAAACTCACCAAAATTTGCAAACATGTCAGAACCGGTGAAAAATTTCGTATTCTACAAGTTTCGCACATGGGCGTGGCAAAATGACTCGCTAGCGCCACCTACAAAATTGGAAAAGATTAGCCCCTTGTTCACGTTCAACCTACATGTACGAAATTTTCTGGGGACATGTATCGTATCAAGACGCACAAAAAAGCCTCAAGAACCCATAGCCTAAAGTAAACAGGAAGTCGGCCATTTTGAATTTTATGGCCATTTTTGGATGATTTACACACTTCGTACTTTAACGAACTCCTCCTAGGGATGTAGTCGGATCGACGTCAAATTTGTGCTGTGCCTTCTAAAGGCATTGACGATGAAAAGTTGTGCTATTTGCGAGTTTTCGTCAATGGGCGTGTCCGTGGCGTCGATGATTCGCCATGAAACAGGAAGTTGTTGTAACTTCAGTGTACATGCTCACATCTGGACCAAACTTTACGTGCTTGATAACTCTCCCACCCCGTTATGGAGGACCGATCCTGACACAGCCAGAAATAAATACAGAAATAAATAAATGCTCAATAAATAAATAAGCATCCAATTAAATACACAAAAATAAAGTAAATAAATAAATGTAGGTAGTAATTAAATTATACAAGGAGACATAAATGTTTATATTTTAATTAGTGCCTTTACTTATTCACCTTTGTTATAATTACCTTATTGTTTATTCAACTTTATTTATTACTAATTTTTTTAATGTATTTATTTATGTGTGTGTTTTAATATTTTTGTCTGTTTTATTCTTCCTTTGTATTTATTTACCTTATTTATTTTCAGCCATGGTATTTATTTCTGCCTATCTTTTTTAAATTTTTGTATGCATTTCTGCCTCATTATGCAAATGAGGAGGGGCTGTGTCTCAAGGGGTCATCTTCTCTGCTATTGGTGGACCAGTCAGACAGGAGAGCTCTAGGCCTACTCTGCCTGCAGACATCAACGATCTTGCCCCTCACACAGTCAGATGGCTTCCTTCAGTGCGCTGAGGTGTTTAACAACTCTGAAGACAATACTACCAGCAATGTCTTCCTTCTCTTTTCACGTAGACGCTCCGACAGACAGTGCTTTCAGTTTGCTGCATGCATGGACACAGAACTGTGGTATAGGGAGAAGCACACGGTCAGCTGGCTGCCGCTAAATCTGGAGTGCACTCGTATTCAATTCTGTATGGTAAATTCAGTTTTAACGGAGCAGAGCGAGCTGACAGGCAGAGTTAGAGACTTTTTCTGTCCGTTTCTCTCTTTACAAAGACGCACGTTGCAGTCAGAGTCTTCTCTGAAGAGGGCAATGAAGTCTCAGTAGTACCCGATGCGAGCACCACATACAACACAATTTATCAAATTACACAACGGATATACAGTATGAAAATAAGATTGATTGGATTATACTCACAGGAAGTATAAAACCTGTTACATGCGTCTATTAAAAGTAAAGTAACACAAAAATGTCAGGGAAATTACTTTACTTAGATTTAAGTACTGCAGTTGTACATTTGAAATACCTTCCTACCTTTCTGATAGGAAGCCTTCTTGAGGTGGTATAAAACATTTCTTCTTATATTCTGATTTGAGTTGTGGACAACTATGACCACATGAATTAAAAAAATTAAACATTTCACTGCCCAAGTCAGCTATAACACAAGTCTTGTTCATCATACTACATGCTGAACAGTATTTGTGGACAGGATTTATTATGCATTTCTTCTTCTTTGTTGCATGATTTAGAATAATAAGGTGAGAAATGGGTCTATTCTGAGTTCATCCTGCACTGCAGCAGCTAATAAAGTCCATTTAATCCCAAAAACGCTTTTCTTTTAGGCAGGCTGGAGCAGAAAACAACTCACCTTTCTCAAGTTGTACAGTAATGTCACATGTGTATGAAGGTGGATCAAACAAGCTAATCTTAAATGTCAAAGTAGAGAGGAGCCTAGTAGGCCTATTTATTTTCATTCATTACACAATATGAATAAGCTATGCAGACAGTTGTAAAGAAAGAACATCTTTTTCTTCTGTTCTCTACTTGTTATAGTTACACAGTATTAGGGGTGTGGGCTGTATTAAAAGTATCCACTGTTCTCCCATGCTCTAACACACAGTAACGATGAAATGTGTGCTGTTCTCACATTCTTCCTCTGTATGTACACATAAACAACAAGGCAAGGAATTTATTTTATTGTTTGGGTACATTATTGTTCAGTGTACATGTCACATCTGAAACAAACTTTACGTGCTTGATAACTCTCCCACCCCGCAGACATCTACACGCCAATACCGATTTATATTCATAGCGGCAAGTGCTATGTAGCTCCACATAGGGGACACAGGAAGTGACATATAGCACATTCATGCGGCGTCGGAACCGCGTAGGAAATTCACAGCCGCACCGGCAGAGCTCCAGAATGTGCAACTCGGCCGGCTCACGCGCGGACGCGCTTACAAGTGCGAGGGCCCGCCCAACGCTGCTTGCAGCTTTAATTTATTTTTTTTTTTTTTTTTTTTTCTGCAAAGTAGGCCCAAATGACATGGCCTAAACATACTCGAAAACTCACCAAAATTTGCAAACATGTCAGAACCGGTGAAAAATTTCGTATTCTACAAGTTTCGCACATGGGCGTGGCAAAATGACTCGCTAGCGCCACCTAGAAAATTGGAAAAATGATTAGCCCTCGTTCACGTTCAACCTACATGTACGAAATTTTCTGGGGACATGTATCGTATCAAGACGCACAAAAAAGCCTCAAGAACCCATAGCCTAAAGTCAACAGGAAGTCGGCCATTTTGAATTTTATGGCCATTTTTGGATGATTTACACACTTCGTACTTTAACGAACTCCTCCTAGGGATTTAGTCGGATCGACGTCAAATTTCTGCTGTGCCTTCTAAAGGCATTGACGATGAAAAGTTGTGCTATTTGCGCGTTTTCGTCAATGGGCGTGTCCGTGGCGTCGATGATTCGCAATGAAACAGGAAGTTGTTGTAACTTCAGTGTACATGCTCACATCTGGACCAAACTGTACATGTAGGATGAGAGTCCCGCCCTGAACACATGTACATGCCGACATTCACCCACAGTCATAGCGCCACCTGCTGGCAACAGAAAGTGACCTTTAACGAAGCAGCCCCCGCCGCACGTTTCACCTACGTGCACGAATTTTCTGTGGTACGTGTATCTTGTCCAGACGCACAAAAAAGTCTCTTGGAGCCATAGCCTAAACCCAACAGGAAGTCGGCCATTTTGAATTTTACGTCAAATTTTGGATGATTTACACACTTCGTACTTTAACGAACTCCTCCTAGGGATTTAGTCCGACCGACCTCAAATTTGTGCTGTGCCTTCTAAAGGCATTGAAGATGAAAAGTTGTGCTATTTGCAAGTTTTCGTCAATGGGCGTGTCCGTGGCGTGGCGTCAAAGATCAGCTCTTCGCCATGACACGGAAGTTGTCGTAACTTCAGTGTACATGCTCACATCTGAAACAAACTTTACGTGCTTGATAACTCTCCCACCCCGCAGACATCTACACGCCAATACCGATTTATATTCATAGCGGCAAGTGCTATGTAGCTCCACATAGGGGACACAGGTGACATATAACACCTTCATGCGGCGTCAGAACTGCGTTGCAAATTCACGCCGCACCGGCAGAGCTCCAGAATATGCAACTCGGCCGGCTCACACGCGGACGCGCTTACAAGTGCGAGGGCCCGCCCAACGCTGCTGCAGCTTTAATATATATATATATATATATATATGTATATATTTTTTTTTCTTCTGCAAAGTAGGCTCCATTGACGGGGCCTAAACATACTCGAAAACTCACCAAAATTTGCAAACATGTCAGAACTGGTGAAAAATTTCGTATTTTATGGGTTTCGTGCATGGGCGTGGCAAAATGACTCGCTAGCGGCACCTAGAAATTGGAAAACATTATCCCCTTGTTCACGTTTAACCTACATGTACGAATTTTCGGGGACATGTATCATATCAAGACGCTCAAAAAAGCCTCAAGAACCCATACCCTAAAGTCAACAGGAAGTCGGCCATTTGAATTTTACGGCCATTTTTGGATGATTTACACACTTCGTACTTTAACGAATTCCTCCTAGGGATTTAGTCTGACCGACCTCAAATTTCTGCTGTGCCTTCTAAAGGCATTGAAGATGAAAAATATATATAATCTTAGCAAATTCAATAGGGACCTCACACGTTCGTGCCCGGGCCCTATAATATAATCTTTACAGATTCAATAGGGACCTCGCACGGTCGTGCTCGGGCCCTAATTTAAGCTGCAAGCAGTGTTGGGCAGGCCCTCGCACTTGTAGCGTGTCTGGGTGTGAGCCAGCCGAGTTGCATATTCTGAAACTCTGCCGGTGAGGCTGTGAATTTGCTACGCGGTTCCGACGCCGCATGAAGGTGTTATATGTCACTTCCTGTGTCCCCTATGTGGAGCTACATAGCACTTGCCGCTATGAATATAAATCGGTATTGGCATGTAGATGTCTTCGGGGTGGGAGAGCTATCAAGCACGTAAAGTTTGGTTCAGATGTGAGCATGTACACTGAAGTTACAACAACTTCCTGTGTCGTGAGAGTTGATCTTTGATGCCACGCCACGGACACGCCCATTGACGAAAACTCGCAAATAGCACAAATTTTCATCGTCAATGCCTTTAGAAGGCACAGCAGAAATTTGACGTCGATCCGACTAAATCCCTAGGAGGAGTTTGTTAAAGTACGAAGTGTGTAAATCATCCAAAAATGGCCGTAAAATTCAAAATGGCCGACTTCCTGTTGACTTTAGGCTATGGGTTCTTGAGGCTTTTTTGTGCGTCTTGATATGATACATGTCCCCAGAAAATTTCGTGCATGTAGGTTGAACGTGAACGAGGGGCTAATTTTTTCCAATTTTCTAGGTGGCGCTAGCGAGTCATTTTGCCACGCCCATGTGCGAAACCCATAAAATACGAAATTTTTCACCAGTTTGACATGTGTGTAAAGTTTGGTGAGCTTTACAAATTCAATAGGGACATCACACGGTCGTGCTCTGGCCCTAAATATAATCTTTACAAATTCAATAGGGACCTCGCACGGTCGTGCTCGGGCCTTAACTAGTAGTAGTTGACTGGTTTTATTAGAAGTAAGAAAAGAGGACAAACTTAGACAAATGGAGGCCCACACATATTATTTCTCTGCAAAAGAGCTGACAGTGTGTCTGTCTCTGTAGGTTGTCCAGCGCTTGCAAAGGGAGGTGAGTGGTGACTGATGGTGCTTTCATGTGGTGTTGGAATAATCAGAATTTTTTTCCCTCCTTAAATCTTTATTGCAAAAAGAGAGAAAGTGTACATGGGACATAAAGAAGTATACAGAACTTTGATTAATGCAAAATCACATATTGTATATACATATTTTGCAAACATTAAATTTGTAATATGGTTGTAATGGTTAGTTTGCTGTCCATGTAGAGTGAAGTAGATGTCTGCATGCTGTTTATATGCTCTGGTGCTAATCCAACACATCTTTGTAGTAGCGTGTTGATTCCCACATTCTGACTTAAGAGCACATGAACACACACTGAAGTCAGAAGAACGACTTCACAACTCGGGAATGTGAATACACTGAACTGTTGCTTGCAATTAGCAACCTTCACGACTAAACTAACTTAGACACTGAACCGTTAAAAAATAAACTAATAGGGCCAAGCTGTTGCCTGGTGTGTCAGTCCTAACGCAGAAATCAATGTCGGACACCAAGTTCTAAGACTTTTATTCAACAATCAGTGTCAATTTCAACTGAGAAAAAAAATACAACTTATGACATCCCCACTGTACAAATTGCTTTAAAAAATCCTTGTGATTTTGTAAATGGGTACCAGAACAATGTCTATGCTGCACTAGTGATTCTTTAAAATTCCTCTTCACTGATCAATGCTCTCATAGACTTCAAATCTGTACTGGATACCATTCTCCTCCTGCAGCTCTTGTAGCACTCCTGGAGACCTGCAAGAGAAAGAAGCCTTACTTTAAAAGTTCCATTTGGTGCACGCACGCATGCGCACACGCACACACACACACACACACACACACACACACAGCAAAAGCTAACTTCTTTCCACCCAAGGAGCACAAGTTGAAAAATGTAGGATCAAATAATGTGTTTTTCCAACAAAAAAGATACAAGAGACATGTACAAGCATTATTTCATTTGTTTGAATTCAAAAAGTAAAGGGTTTTTTAATTATTTCTACTTCAACTGTTTTTTTAATAATTATCTAATTATTTATACTTTAAACTGCATGTCTATAATAAAGCAGTTCTTAGTTCTAAACATCAAAATAGTAGAAAATAATAGAATGAATGGTCTCCTCATTGCAGAAGAAGTATAGGCAGACTTGTCCATCATGCAGTACCATCAGGGAGACATTTGATTGGCCTCAATTTATTCTGCAGCATGACAACCACCCCAAACATACAGTGAAAGTCATATAGCACTGTCTTCAGCGTAATGGAGAAAAGGAGTCCTGGAAGTTCTCCAAGATGCTTGGGTCAACCTACTTTAGTTCCTTCAATAACTATGTGCAAGTTTACTAGAAGAACTGATGCTGTTTGAAGGTAAAGGGTGGTCATACTACATATTGATTTGATTTAGATTTTTCTTCTGTTGACTCACATTGTATTTAGTTAATTGATAACTAATCTATTAACATGTCTAATTTTAAAAGCATCCTTACTTCACAGCACTTTTCTACACACCACCACTGTATGAGACGTAGCTGTGATGTTAAAAAATAAATTGATTTCACAATCACTACAACTAAAAGAAAAACTGTAACAAGGTCATTTCAATTCAGCTTTTGTCTTTTTCAGTGAGCTTGGCCTTCACCTCCTTCTCAAGCCACATAATTAGGCTGCTGTAACATCTGTTCTGGTCCATGGTCCATTTTAGCAGCAAAGTTTAATGTCTACATTTGCGTCTCGTGAATTTTCCAAGTTCCAAAACAAATCCAAAAGCAAATTGATTAATTACATTGTAGTTAGGACAGTATTGGCCTTCCTAATATTATAAGGAACCTTTAGGGGCCAATGTTAACATTAAGTTGGGACTTTGCTGAGGAGCTCATCTTGTGTTGTAATGTCTGCAAAATGGTAACATTAGTAAAGATAAAGGAGTAATCCAGTGCCCTAACATCAGTAATGTTATACAAGTAGAATCTGGAATAACAAGTACACTAGCTAACATTAGACTCCATGGAATAATGTGTTGAGAATGTGTGCTGATCTTACTCTGGCAGTAGACGATATTTGTCTGGACTGATTTCTGGGAGGAATGTGTCACACTCAAACTGCTTCAGGATCCGTGTGACATACAGTCTCTTGGTCCCCGAGCTTTCCATCAACTCCTGGATAGACCAAAGCAACCAAAACTTAATTAAAGAAAGAGTTTAGCATGTCATTTCAGCTCACCCTGAAATGGTTCACCATGACCATCAATGATAGCTGTATGACAGTAAAATTAACCATTGGAAAATGTAGACATTAGGGCTGACCCCGAAAAGTCGAAGATTTGATGCTTGGATGGGAGGCGCCTGATTCAACTGTCAATCTCACAGTTGAAGCTTTGCAGAAAATTTTTGGCGATAAGGGGGCTCAACGTCTGATTTTTACATAGAACTACCAGTTTTCTTCCAATAAGTTTAAATATAGCCCATTACAATATACATTTCAACATACAATGCTGTAAATAAACATGTGAAAAGAAAGAAGCTTTTAATAAATGCTTTTAAAGTGCGTGAATGAATCATCAGTCAGTGCACATGTGTAGGCAGAACGTGTGTGTGTGTGTGTGCGTTGGCAGAAGAGAACAAGAACAATAAGTTACAGTGACTAATGATTAGAGACCGCAGCTCTGCAGCTTCTCAAGATTAAAGTGGAGCTGCCGTGTGTTCCATGCAGTACCTTGTAGAGAGAGCTGCCTCCTATAACCCAGACCTGGTCAGCCTGGCCTGCCAGCTCCGAGTCAACCAGCCTGAGAGCTGAGCTGAAGTCACCCACCACATGGTGTGCTCCTGTGAGGGGCGCTCTGGAGGAGAATTGGCATTTATATCTTGTCACTGAAAGCCCTGAGGCAAGTGGAGAGAAAAGCAATCTGAGACTGATTAGGGCCCGAGCACAACCTCTACCTCGACTTTTAACAAAGCAGCCCCCGCCGCACGTTTCACCTATGTGCACGAATTTTCTGTGGTACGTGTATCTTGTCCAGACGCACAAAAAAGCCTCTCGCGATGCCCTAAAACCAACAGGAAGTCGGCCATTTTGAATTTTACGTCAAATTTTGGATGATTTACACACTTCGTACTTTAACGAACTCCTCCTAGGGATTTAGTCCGACCGACTTCAAATTTGTGCTGTGCCTTCTAAAGGCATTGAAGATGAAAAGTTGTGCTATTTGCGAGTTTTCGTCAATGGGTGTGTCCGTGGCGTGGTGTCAAAGATCAAGTCTTCGCCATGACACAGGAAGTTGTTGTAACTTCAGTGTACATGCTCACATCTGAACCAAACTTTACGTGCTTGATAACTCTCCCACCCCGCTATGGAGGACCGATCCTGACACAGTCAGAAATAAATACAGAAATAAATAAATGCTCAACAAATAAATAAGCATCCAATTAAATACACAAAAAAATAAAGTAAATAAATAAATGTAGGTAGTAATTAAATTATACAAGGAGACATAAATGTATATATTTTAATTAGTGCCTTTACTTATTCACCTTTGTTATAACTACCTTATTTGTTTATTCAACTGTGTGTGTTTTAATATTTTTGTCTGTTTTATTCTTCCTTTGTATTTTTTTTACCTTATTTATTTTCACCCATGGTATTTATTTCTGCCTGTCCTTTTTAAATTTCTGTATGCATTTCTGCCTCATTATGCAAATGAGGAGGGGCTGTGTCTCAAGGGGTCATCTTCTCTGCTATTGGTGGACCAGTCAGACAGGAGAGCTCTAGGCCTACTCTGCCTGCAGACATCAACGATCTTGCCCCTCACACAGTCAGATGGCTTCCTTCAGTGCGCTGAGGTGTTTAACAACTCTGAAGACAATACTACCAGCCATGTCTTCCTTCTCTTTTCACGTAGACGCTCCGACAGACAGTGCTTTCAGTTTGCTGCATGCATGGACACAGAACTGCGGTATAGGGAGAAGCACACGGTCAGCTAGCTGCAGCTAAATCTGGAGTGCACTCGTATTCAATTCTGCATGGTAAATTCAGTTTTAACGGAGCAGAGCGAGCAGACAGGCAGAGTTAGAGACTTTTTCTGTCCGTTTCTCTCTTTACAAAGACGCATGCAGTCAGAGTCTTCTCTGAAGAGGGCAATGAAGTCTCAGTAGTACCCGATGCGAGCACCACATACAACACAATTTATCAAATTACACAACGGATATACAGTATGAAAATAAGATTGATTGGATTATACTCACAGGAAGTATAAAACCTGTTACATGCGTCTATTAAAAGTAAAGTAACACAAAAATGTCAGGGAAATTACTTTACTTAGATTTAAGTACTGCAGTTGTACATTTGAAATACCTTCCTAACTTTCTGATTGGAAGCCTTCTTGAGGTGGTTTTAAACATTTCTTCTTATATTCTGATTTGAGTTGTGGACAACTATGACCACATGAATTAAAAAAATTAAACATTTCACTGCCCAAGTCAGCTAAAACACAAGTCTTGTTCATCAGACTACATGCTGTACAGTATTTGTCTATAGATTTTGTCCCAGGATTATTATGCATTTCTTCTTCTTCGTTGCATGATTTAGAATAATAAGGTGAGAAATGGGTCTGTTCTGAGTTCATCCTGCACTGCAGCAGCTAATAAAGTCCATTTAATCCCAAAAACGCTTTTCTTTTAGGCAGGCTGGAGCAGAAAACAACTCACCTTTCTCAAGTTGTACAGTAATGTCACATGTGTATGAAGGTTGATCAAACAAGCTAATCTTAAATGTCAAAGTAGAGAGGAGCCTAGTAGGCCTATTTATTTTCATTCATTACACAATATGAATAAGCTATGCAGACAGTTGTAAAGAAAGAACATCTTTTTCTTCTGTTCTCTACTTGTTATAGTTACACAGTATTAGGGGTGTGGGCTGTATTAAAAGTATCCACTGTTCTCCCATGCTCTAACACACAGTAACGATGAAATGTGTACTGTTCTCACATTCTTCCTCTGTATGTACACATAAACAACAAGGCAGGGAAATATAAATGGAATTTATTTTATTGTTTGGGTACATTATTGTTCAGTGTACATGCTCACATCTGAAACAAACTTTACGTGCTTGATAACTGTCTCATCCCGCAGACATCTACACACCAATACCGATTTATATTCATAGCGGCAAGTGCTATGTAGCTCCACATAGGGGACACAGGAAGGGACATATAGCACCTTCATGCGGCGTCTGAACCGCGTAGCAAATTCACAGCCGCACCGGCAGAGCTCCAGAATGTGCAACTCGGCCGGCTCACACCCGGACGCGCTACAAGTGCGAGGGCCCGGCCAACGCTGCTTGCAGCTTTAATTATATTTTGGGTTCCTACTAGAAAATGTTTACATGCTTTAGTATTCTAAAAACACATTATATATTTTTCTCATTGTTGTACTCAAGGCCGGTCTTGGTATCAGGTCTTAAGACCACTTTGATGGTCTTGATCACGTCTCAGACTCGACCGCATTTGTACTCGGTCTTGTCTCAGTCTCGGACATTGAGGACTCAGGATTTTATTTCAAGACCAGTCAAGACAATAACTTTGGTAATATCAATAAAATTGCTTTTGCATTGTCTGATTTATTTGTTAACATCCTAACTTTTATTGGATCTAGAACGTATTGCTTCAAATACAACCAATAACCCTAATTAAAAATGTGTTGTTCCCGTTAACGACTATCACAATGGTAAGCATGGAAAAGGAGTGTTGAATAAAGATGTTTAAGTTGATTTCAGCTCTTAGTGTTTGTATGTGGGTGGGTCTACCTATGATCTCGTTTCCACATTTTATTGTGCGTCATGTAATGCGGGAACTGGTCTTGGTTTTGACTCAGTCTTGCCCACCCTTGGTCTTGGTCTCAGCCCCTAAAAGCATTGGTCTTGTCTCAGTCTTGATAAACTCTTGTCTTGGTCTTGACTTGGTCTCGGTTTGAGGGACTGTCAAACCTTGACTGTCCATTTCTGCAGTACCTCTATTCACCCGCTGTCTGAACATGTCGTTTGAGCTCCTGTCTCCTAAAGACCTGCCTCCCCAAAAGCCTACTTTCTTCTGATTAGCCAACTTCTGGAAGTCTGTTGAAACAAGTGTGGAGATGGGCTGGCTGTGCAGACTAGGCAGCAACAAGCCTGCAATGCCCAGGTGGGAACCTCCAGGTCTGAAATGTGAGGCTATGATGCCATTTTAACTATAGCCATTGTGTTTTGTTTTGGAAAGCCCTTTATGTCCGATGCTTGGCAAGTGCTTTTCTTATGAATTATAGTTTAACCACTACTGCCTAACACCAAAAACTGAATAGCCTTGACACAAATAATAGCATATAATTTTGCCTACTATAAAATCCCATCATTCTGTTGAACCTTAGCTTTCTAAAATCACTGTGGTCAGTGTTAAACTTCACAGCAAACTTGGTGTATTGATATGAAAGTGTAATACGGTCAAAAATCTGGGTCTACTTCATAGGTGTGCAAATATCAAAAACTAATAGATATTCTAAAGGGGGGGGGGGGGGGGTGGTAGCATTCCTCTTATAAAGGCTCATAGACTTCAATCAATCAGTAAATAACTTACATTACAGTATTACGTTACAAGTCGCTGACACAGTGGGTATTTTACAACCAGGGACCAGGTAAAGTAACAGTGAGCAAACAGAGTGCAGATGTTCCTTACGAAGCTGGCTTGGGCTGCAACTAACGACTATTTTGATAGTCGATTATTCTATTGAATGTTATTGAAATGGATACTCAACTATTCAGATTATGAATCACAAAATTACACAATGTCTCCGATTTAGCCATCAGCTTTTAAATTAACAGAGCAGCTTACACCTCGGTACTGCAACACAACGGGACAAACTGACACTATATTTCCACAAAAAAAAGGAATAACTTCAGCTGTCACATCTGCTGAATTTACAAGAGGGGACCAACTAACGATTTTGTAGTAGACAGCGTTTTAACACAAAGTTTCTATAGACGCCCCTAACTCAAACATCTCACATATCTTTTTTTTAAGAGTCTGGGGCGGATTTGCCGCCACCTCACACACAGACAGAAGAACTCTTTATAAAGTAACAAAAACATTGTCCGGTTTGAAATGAAAACAGTCTCTTCACTCCTGGTTTCAATGGTAAACAACCAAGAATGACAACTACCAACAAACACACTAGATTCTAAGGAGACACGTTTTAATCAACATAAATCATAAAGTAACATTTGTATTTCAAATAAATGGCAAATTAGTATTTTATTTTAACAAAAGTCCCTTCACCCTCATGTGCAGAGGTTTATTTATTGCCTCAAAGTCCACTGGAAGCCTCTCAGCGTTTCAGCAGTGCAGTGTGCAGCCTGCAGCGTTTCAGCAGCGCAGTGTGCAGCCTGCAGCTTAGCAGAAGGGAGTTACAAACTCAATTTCACTCCATAACCTGTTTTGTGACAAAATAAATCTACCTACCTACCTATAAAACTGCAGACATATAAAGGAAGAGAGAAAGAATTTGTAGCTTTGGCAATATTATTGTTTTACATTAAATGGCAATAAAGCTGAATTAAATTGATAGACAAATGTAGATGTATGTCTGAAGAGAAAAACAAGTTGAGCTGATTACTGGACGCAACGTAAGGTGGAAAATTAAGTAGAATTAAAGCTGCAAGCAGCGTTGGGCGGGCCCTCGCACTTCTAAGGGTGTGAGCCGGCCGAGTTGCACATTCTGGAGCTCTGCCGGTGCGGCTGTGAATTTGCTACGCAGTTCCGACGCCGCATGAAGGTGCTATATGTCACTTCCTGTGTCCCCTATGTGGAGCTACATAGCACTTGCCGCTATGAATATAAATCGGTATTGGTGTGTAGATGTCTGCGGGGTGGGAGAGTTATCAAGCACGTAAAGTTTGTTTCAGATGTGAGCATGTACACTGAACAATAATGTACCCAAACAATAAAATAAATTCCTTTTATATTTCCCTGCCTTGTTGTTTATGTGTACATACAGAGGAAGAATGTGAGAACAGCACACATTTCATCGTTACTGTGTGTTAGAGCATGGGAGAACAGTGGATACTTTAAATATAGCCCACACCCCTAATACTGTGTAACTATAACAAGTAGAGAACAGAAGAAAAAGATGTTCTTTCTTTACAACTGTCTGCATAGCTTATTCATATTGTGTAATGAATGAAAATAAATAGGCCTACTAGGCTCCTCTCTACTTTGACATTTAAGATTAGTTTGTTTAATCCACCTTCATACACATGTGACATTACTGTACAACTTGAGAAAGGTGAGTTGTTTTCTGCTCCAGCCTGCCTAAAAGAAAAGCGTTTTTGGGATTAAATGGACTTTATTAGCTGCTGCAGTGCAGGATGAACTCAGAATAGACCCATTCCTCACCTTATTATTCTAAATCATGCAACGAAGAAGAAGAAATGCATAATAAATCCTGGGACAAAATCTGTCCACAAATACTGTACAGCATGTAGTCTGATGAACAAGACTTGTGTTATAGCTGACTTGGGCAGTGAAATGTTTTTTTAATTCATGTGGTCATAGTTGTCCACAACTCAAATCAGAATATAAGAAGAAATGTTTTATACCACCTCAAGAAGGCTTCCTATCAGAAAGGTAGGAAGGTATTTCAAATGTACAACTGCAGTACTTAAATCTAAGTAAAGTAATTTCCCTGACATTTTTGTGTTACTTTACTTTTAATAGACGCATGTAACAGGTTTTATACTTCCTGTGAGTATAATCCAATCAATCTTATTTTCATACTGTATATCCGTTGTGTAATTTGATAAATTGTGTTGTATGTGGTGCTCGCATCGTGTACTACTGAGACTTCATTGCCCTCTTCAGAGAAGACTGACTGCAACATGCGTCTTTGTAAAGAGAGAAACGGACAGAAAAAGTCTCTAACTCTGCCTGTCAGCTCGCTCTGCTCCGTTAAAACTGAATTTACCATACAGAATTGAATACGAGTGCACTCCAGATTTAGCTGCAGCTAGCTGATCGTGTGCTTCTCCCTATTCCGCAGTTCTGTGTCCATGCATGCAGCAAACTGAAAGCACTGTCTGTCGGAGTGTCTACGTGAAAAGAGAAGGAAGACATGGCTGGTAGTATTGTCTTCAGAGTTGTTAAACACCTCAGCGCACTGAAGGAAGCCTTCTGACTGTATGAGGGGCAAGATCGTTGATGTCTGCAGGCAGAGTAGGCCTAGAGCTCTCCTGTCTGACTGGTCCACCAATAGTAGAGATGACCCCTTGAGACACAGCCCCTCCTCATTTGCATAATGAGGCAGAAATGCATATAGAAATTTAAAAAGGACAGGCAGAAATAAATACCATGGGTGAAAATAAATAAGGTAAAAAAATACAAAGGAAGAATAAAACAGACAAAAATATTAAAAGACACATTAATAAATACATTTAAAAAATTTGTAATAAATAAAGTTGAAGATTATAACGGAGAATAAATAAATAAGGTAATTATAACAAAGGTGAAGTAAAGGCACTAATTAAAATATATACATTTATATCTCCTTGTATAATTTAATTACTACCTACATTTATTTATTTACTTTATTTTTTTGTGTATTTAATTGGATGCTTATTATTTGTTGAGCATTTATTTATTTCTGTATTTATTTCTGACTGTGTCAGGATCGGTCCTCCACAGCGGGGTGGGAGAGTTATCAAGCACGTAAAGTTAGTTTCAGATGTGAGCATGTACACTAAAGTTACAACAACTTCCTGTGTCATGGCGAAGACTTGATCTTTGACGCCCCCCCCCGCCCATTGACGAAAACTCGTAAATGGCACAACTTTTCATCTTTAATGCCTTTAGAAGGCACAGCAGAAATTTGAGGTCGGTCGGACTAAATCCCTAGGAGGAGTTCGTTAAAGTACGGAGTGTGTAAATCATCCAAAAATGGCCGTAAAATTCAAAATGGCCGACTTCCTGTTGACTTTAGGCTATGGGTTCTTGAGGCTTTTTTGTGCGTCTTGATATGATACATGTCCCCAGCAAATTTCGTACATGTAGGTTGAACGTGAACGAGCGGCTAATTTTTTCCAATTTTCTAGGTGGCGCTAGCGAGTCATTTTGCCACGCCCATGCGCGAAACCCATAAAATACGAAATTTTTCACCAGTTCTGACATGTGTGCAAAGTTTGGTGAGTTTTCGAGTATGTTTAGGCCCTGTCAATGGAGCCTACTTTGCAGAAAAAATAAATAAATAAATAAATTCAATAGGGACCTCACACGGTCGTGCTCGGGCCCTAATAATCTTAGCAAATTCAATAGGGACCTCACACGGTCGTGCTTGGGCCCTAATTAAACTGGTGAGATAAGAAATAACATAGGCTACTTTAAATAGGGTAATGTATTCTTAAAAATAAATACCATTAAAGCTGCAAGCAGCGTTGGGTGGGCCCTCGCACTTGTAGCGCGTCCGGGTGTGAGCCGGCCGCGTTGCATATTCTGGCGCTCTGCCGGTGCGGCTGTGAATTTGCTACGCGGTTCCGACGCCGCATGAAGGTGTTATATGTCACTTCCTGTGTCCCCTATGTGGAGCTACATAGCACTTGCCGCTATGAATATAAATCGGTATTGGCGTGTAGATGTCCGCGGGGTGGGAGAGTTATCAAGCACGTAAAGTTTGGTGCAGATGTGAGCATGTACACTGAAGTTACAACAACTTCCTGTGTCATGGCGAATCATCGATGCCACAGACATTGCACAGGCCCATTGACGAAAACTCGCAAATAGCAGAACTTTTCATCGTCAATGCCTTTAGAAGGCACAGCAGAAATTTGACGTCGATCCGGCTAAATCCTTAGGAGGAGTTTGTTAAAGCACGGAGTGTGTAAATCATCCAAAAATGGCCATAAAATTCAAAATGGCCGACTTCCTGTTGACTTTAGGGTATGGGTTCTTGAGGCTTTTTCTCCTCCCTGTTCTCCTGTCTTCCTTTTTGGGTCATAGCTGATAAGGTCCGGTGCCGCTGAGCTGCAGCGCGGTCGCGCATTCACGTCAGGGATGGTGCGTTCAGTAGGAAAGCCTTAATATGATTAGTAACTGTAATAAGATAACTGTTTTGGAAATAGTAATCCGTCATACTATTCTTTACTGGGAAAAGTAATATAACAGTATTACTGCCCCCCCTTTTTAAATTACAGATCTGCATGATTCACGTGGGTCCGATTTTCAGGTCAGAAAATCTGGAATTCCGGATTAATCCAGAGAAATCACATCCCTGATAAAATATACAGTCTATAGTGATGGAGCATTTTTTGGACCCACGCAAATAAGAGGACAATGTGAGGTTAGATTGTTGGAGCTGGACAGAGTGATCAGATCTTAATTGGATCTCAGTCTGGACACTGGAGACACATAATTGTAATCAGGTTAAAATCATATGCCGATACGATCTGGATCAGGGATGCATTTTAACGATAGGTGTAAAATGTCTATGAAGATTCTCAGTCATCCAGGTCATAGTTATCCAACGAAGGTTAAAGTCAAGGGCAACTGGACTTGGTTGAAGATACTGGAAGACGTTTCGTCCCTCATCCGATATACACACACACACAGAACTGAAGAAGTCCTTTGGATGAGGAACCAAGTCCAGTTGCTCTTGACTTTAACCTTCGTTGGATAGGTGTAAATGGCTAATGTAAAAGGTTTTGTCAGAAGAATCTTTATAAATTCCTTTTTTCCACTTGTTCTGAAACACAGGAGAAAAAACTATTCAGATAAAACTTAGAAAATGGATCCCCAGAATCCACTGGAACACTGGTGTGTAGCAGCATTATCTGCACGTGATGCATACTTGCGCTCCCTGCTGAGGACGATGTTGATCCTGTTATTCAGAGGTCTGTTCTTCTCTGGGATGGAAAACCATGTCTTCCTGCCCATGATCACCACGTTCTGCTTGCCTGCAGGACAAAAAGGTTTGAATTCATTACAAGTAAACTTAACGTGGCACACACACACACACATTATATATATATATATATATATATATATATATATATATATATATATATAGACCCTTTGCCGTGACACTCATATTTAACTCAGGTGCTGTCTATTTCTTCTGATCATCCTTGAGATGGTTCTACACCAGCTGTGTTTGATTATACTGATTGGACTTGATTAGGAAAGCCACAAACCTGTCTGTATAAGACCTTACAGCTCACAGTGCATGTCAGAGCAAATGAGAATCATGAGGTTAAAGGAACTGCCTGAAGAGCTCAGAGACAGAATTGTGGCAAGGCACAGATCTGGCCAAGGTTACAAAAAAATTTCTGCTGCACTTAAGGTTCCTAAGAGCACAGTGGCCTCCATAATCCTCAAATGGAAGACGTTTGGGACGACCAGAACCCTTCCTAGAGCTGGCCGTCCGGCCAAACTGAGCTATCGGGAGAGAAGAGCCTTGGTGAGAGAGGTAAAGAAGAACCCAAAGGTCACTGTGGCTGAGCTCCAGAGATGCAGTCGGGAGATGGGAGAAAGTTGTAGTAAGTCAACCATCACTGCAGCAATCCACCAGTCGGGGCTTTATGGCAGAGTGGCCCGACGGAAGCCTCTCCTCAGTGCAAGACACATGAAAGCCTGCATGGAGTTTGCTAAAAAACACCTGAAGGACTCCAAGATGGTGATAAATAAGATCCTCTGGTCTGATGAGACCAAGATAGAACTTTTTGGCCTTAATTCTAAGCGGTATGTGTGGAGAAAACCAGGCACTGCTCATCACCTGTCCAATACAGTCTCAACAGTGAAGCATGGTGGTGGCAGCATCATGCTGTGGGGGTGTTTTTCAGCTGCAGGGACAGGACGACTGGTTGCAATCGAGGGAAAGATGAATGTGGCCAAGTACAGGGATATCCTGGACGAAAACCTTTTCCAGAGTGCTCTGGACCTCAGACTGGGCCGAAGGTTTACCTTCCAACAAGACAATGACCCTAAGCACACCGCTAAAATAACGAAGGAGTGGCTTCACAACAACTCCGTGGCTGTTCTTGAATGGCCCAGCCAGAGCCCTGACTTAAACCCAATTGAGCATCTCTGGAGAGACCTGAAAATGGCTGTCCACCAACGTTTACCATCCAACCTGACAGAACTGGAGAGGATCTGCAAGGAGGAATGGCAGAGGATACCCAAATCCAGATGAGAGAAACTTGTTGCATCTTTCCCAAAACGACTCATGGCTGTATTAGATCAAAAGGGTGCTTCTACTAAATACTGAGCAAAGGGTCTGAATACTTATGACCATGTGATATTTCAGTTTTTCTTTTTTAATAAATTTGCAAAAATTTCTACATTTCTGTTTTTTTTCCGTCAAGATGGGGTGCTGAGTGTACATTACTGAGAAATAAAATGAACTTTTTTGATTTTTGGGGAAATGGCTGCAATGAAACAAAGAGTGAAAAATTTAAAGGGGTCTGAATACTTTTCCGTACCCACTGTGTGTACACACACACACACACACACGACTAATATTCAATTAAAAACTTATTACAGACTCAAGTTCCAAATCTTAGCCACAACAAAACATACCCACAAACGCGCATACATGCATATAACAAACAGCATAGTAAATCATGGTTAAAAAACACAAGGTTAACTAATTTACCTTCTACTGATGGAGTCGCTGTCATCGTTCGGAAGTGCTTGAATTCGTTACTATAAATGAAGAACATATTTAATAGTTGACAAAGTTAATACAGGTATAATTCACAGCTGCTGCTATCGCGCTACCTTCAATGGCTCATGCTCTTCCGTTGTGTAACATTACCAAAGCTTATGATACACAGGGCAAGGTTTTGAGCAATGTTGCTGGGCAATCTTGCTGGTGGCAAGTCCGACTAGGTTTTCAACGGATAGCGACTGGGCGGTGAAAGTGGTGGAGTGGTGGGGGAAAGGGATTACTGTATAGTAATCTTTAATCATTACCATTGACGGGAACATTGCCCAGCACCACTGCTATAAAAGTTGCTCCGTGCATCAACAGTGTAATGTTAAAGCTGGAGCCCAACTACAGAGTGTATGGTAACGTTACTGAAGCGTTAATTGAAGGGTTGATTAGAGTCCACCAAACCGTCTACCAAAGTCACTTACTTGAGTCTAACAGGGTGCCAGGGCAGATTTCCATTTTTACCGATACCCAGGTCAGGACACACCGCCACGATACCGTTCAGAATGCGGGACATTGTCAGTAAAACGGACACTGCACTACACAACAGCTTCCCGCCGGCAGGGAAACACCGGAAATGACGATTTCTTCTTCTTCTTCAGACGTCATGCCAGCTGGCAACGTCGCATCCACAGTCCAAGATCGTATCACTGCCATCTTATTGCCTTCTTCTACTTCTTCTTCTTCTTCTTCTTCTTATTTAATGGCGGATTGCAAACAACTTTTAACTGCATACCGCCACCTACTGAACTGGAGTGTGTAACATCATATCACTCAGCTATCAACCTCAATAAGGTGCTCTCATATTCTGTTCACCAACCCAGTGTCTTTAAGAAATTTAAATAATGCCTTCCTGGTGATTCTTATACCCTTTTCTTCTCCTTCTGTTCCCAGTACCCCCATCAGATTCCATTCCCGCCCTGCTTCCTGAACCCGATGATTCAAACAAATAAATAAGCATCCAATTAAATACACAAAAAAATAAAGTAAATAAATAAATGTAGGTAGTAATTAAATTATACAAGGAGACATAAATGTATATATTTTAATTAGTGCCTTTACTTATTCACCTTTGTTATAATTACCTTATTTATTTATTCTCCGTTATAATCTTCAACTTTATTTATTACTAATTTTTTAAATGTATTGTGTTTTAATATTTTTTGTCTGTTTTATTCTTCCTTTGTATTTTTTTACCTTATTTATTTTCACCCATGGTATTTATTTCTGCCTGTTTAAATTTTTGTATGCATTTCTGCCTCATTATGCAAATGAGGAGGGGCTGTGTCTCAAGGGGTCATCTTCTCTGCTATTGGTGGACCAGTCAGACAGGAGAGCTCTAGGCCTACTCTGCCTGCAGACATCAACGATCTTGCCACTCATACAGTCAGATGGCTTCCTTCAGTGCGCTGAGGTGTTTAACAACTCTGAAGACAATACTACCAGCAATGTCTTCCTTCTCTTTTCACGTAGACGCTCCGACAGACAGTGCTTTCAGTTTGCTGCATGCGTGGACACAGAACTGCGGTATAGGGAGAAGCACACGATCAGCTGGCTGCAGCTAAATCTGGAGTGCACTCGTATTCAATTCTGTATGGTAAATTCAGTTTTAACGGAGCAGAGCGAGCTGACAGGCAGAGTTAGAGACTTTTTCTGTCTGTTTCTCTCTTTACAAAGACGCATGTTGCAGTCAGAGTCTTCTCTGAGATGCGAGCACGACATACAACACAATTTATCAAATTACACAACGGATATACAGTATGAAAATAAGATTGATTGGATTATACTCACAGGAAGTATAAAACCTGTTACATGCGTCTATTAAAAGTAAAGTAACACAAAAATGTCAGGGAAATTACTTTACTTAGATTTAAGTACTGCAGTTGTACATTTGAAATACCTTCCTACCTTTCTGATAGGAAGCCTTCTTGAGGTGGTATAAAACATTTCTTCTTATATTCTGATTTGAGTTGTGGACAACTATGACCACATGAATTAAAAAAATTAAACATTTCACTGCCCAAGTCAGCTATAACACAAGTCTTGTTCATCAGACTACATGCTGTACAGTATTTGTGGACAGATTTTGTCCCAGGATTTATTATGCATTTCTTCTTCTTCGTTGCATGATTTAGAATAATAAGGTGAGAAATGGGTCTGTTCTGAGTTCATCCTGCACTGCAGCAGCTAATAAAGTCCATTTAATCCCAAAAACGCTTTTCTTTTAGGCAGGCTGGAGCAGAAAACAACTAACCTTTCTCAAGTTGTACAGTAATGTCACATGTGTATGAAGGTGGATCAAACAAGCTAATCTTAAATGTCAAAGTAGAGAGGAGCCTAGTAGGCCTATTTATTTTCATTCATTACACAATATGAATGAGCTATGCAGACAGTTGTAAAGAAAGAACATCTTTTTCTTCTGTTCTCTACTTGTTATAGTTACACAGTATTAGGGGTGTGGGCTGTATTAAAAGTATCCACTGTTCTCCCATGCTCTAACACACAGTAACGATGAAATGTGTGCTGTTCTCACATTCTTCCTCTGTATGTACACATAAACAACAAGGCAGGGAAATATAAAAGGAATTTATTTTATTGTTTGGGTACATTATTGTTCAGTGTACATGCTCACATCTGAAACAAACTTTACGTGCTTGATAACTCTCCCACCCCGCAGACATCTACACGTCAATACCGATTTATATTCATAGCGGCAAGTGCTATGTAGCTCCACATAGGGGACACAGGAAGTGACATATAACACCTTCATGCGGCGTCAACCGCGTAGCAAATTCACACCCGCACCGGCAGAGCTCCAGAATGTGCAACTCGGCCGGCTCACACGCGGACGCGCTTACAAGTGCGAGGGCCCGCCCAACGCTGCTTGCAGCTTTAATTTTTTTATTTTTAGGGCCCGAGCACGACCGTGTGAGGTCCCTATTGAATTTGCTCGGATATATATATATTTTAGGGCCCGAGCACGACCGTGCGAGGTCCCTATTGAATTTGCTCGGATTTTTTTTTTTTTTTTTTTTTTTTTTTTTCTGCAAAGTAGGCCCAAATGACATGGCCTAAACATACTCGAAAACTCACCAAAATTTGCAAACATGTCAGAACCGGTGAAAAATTTCGTATTCTACAAGTTTCGCACATGGGCGTTGCAAAATGACTCGCTAGCGCCACCTAGAAAATTGGAAAAATTAGCCCCTCGTTCACGTTCAACCTACATGTACGAAATTTTCTGGGGACATGTATCATGTCAAGACGCACAAAAAAGCCTCAAGAACCCATAGCCTAAAGTCAACAGGAAGTCGGCCATTTTGAATTTTATGGCCATTTTTGGATGATTTACACACTTCGTACTTTAACGAACTCCTCCTAGGGATTTAGTCGGATCGACGTCAAATTTCTGCTGTGCCTTCTAAAGGCATTGACGATGAAAAGTTGTGCTATTTGCGAGTTTTCGTCAATGGGCGTGTCCGTGGCGTCGATGATTCGCAATGAAACAGGAAGTTGTTGTAACTTCAGTGTACATGCTCACATCTGGACCAAACTGTACATGTAGGATGAGAGTCCCGCCCTGAACACATGTACATGCCGACATTCACCCACAGTCATAGCGCCACCTGCTGGCAACAGAAAGTGACCTTTAACGAAGCAGCCCCCGCCGCACGTTTCACCTACGTGCACGAATTTTCTGTGGTACGTGTATCTTGTCCAGACGCACAAAAAAGTCTCTTGGAGCCATAGCCTAAACCCAACAGGAAGTCGGCCATTTTGAATTTTACGTCAAATTTTGGATGATTTACACACTTCGTACTTTAACGAACTCCTCCTAGGGATTTAGTCCGACCGACCTCAAATTTGTGCTGTGCCTTCTAAAGGCATTGAAGATGAAAAGTTGTGCTATTTGCAAGTTTTCGTCAATGGGCGTGTCCGTGGCGTGGCGTCAAAGATCACTCTTCGCCATGACACGGAAGTTGTCGTAACTTCAGTGTACATGCTCACATCTGGACCAAACTGTACATGTAGGATGAGAGTCCCGCCCTGAACACATGTACATGCTGACATTCACCCACAGTCATAGCGCCACCTGCTGGCAACAGGAAGTGACTTTTAACGAAGCAGCCCCCGCCGCACGTTTACCTACGTGCACGAATTTTCTGTGGTACGTGTATCTTGTCCAGACGCACAAAAAAGCCTCTTGGAGCGATGCCCTAAAATCAACAGGAAGTCGGCCATTTTGAATTTTACGTCAAATTTTGGATGATTTACACACTTCGTACTTTAACGAACTCCTCCTAGGGATTTAGTCCGACCGACCTCAAATTTGTGCTGTGCCTTCTAAAGGCATTGAAGATGAAAAGTTGTGCTATTTGCAAGTTTTCGTCAATGGGCGTGTCCGTGGCGTGGCGTCAAAGATCAACTCTTCGCCATGACACGGAAGTTGTCGTAACTTCAGTGTACATGCTCACATCTGGACCAAACTGTACATGTAGGATGAGAGTCCCGCCCTGAACACATGTACATGCTGACATTCACAGACAGTCATAGCGCCACCTGCTGGCAACAGGAAGTGACTTTTAACGAAGCAGCCCCCGCCGCACGTTTTACCTACGTGCACGAATTTTCTGTGGTACGTGTATCTTGTCCAGACGCACAAAAAAGCCTCTTGGAGCGATGCCCTAAAATCAACAGGAAGTCGGCCATTTTGAATTTTACGTCAAATTTTGGATGATTTACACACTTCGTACTTTAACGAACTCCTCCTAGGGATTTAGTCCGACCGACTTCAAATTTGTGCTGTGCCTTCTAAAGGCATTGAAGATGAAAAGTTGTGCTATTTGCGAGTTTTCGTCAATGGGTGTGTCCGTGGCGTGGCGTCAGAGATCAAGTCTTCGCCATGACACAGGAAGTTGTTGTAACTTCAGTGTACATGCTCACATCTGAACCAAACTTTACGTGCTTGATAACTCTCCCACCCCGTTATGGAGGACCGATCCTGACACAGTCAGAAATAAATACAGAAATAAATAAATGCTCAATAAATAAATAAGCATCCAATTAAATACACAAAAAAATAAAGTAAATAAATAAATGTAGGTAGTAATTAAATTATACAAGGAGACATAAATGTTATATTTTAATTAGTGCCTTTACTTATTCACCTTTGTTATAATTACCTTATTTGTTTATTCAACTTTATTTATTACTAATTTTTTTAATGTATTTATTTATGTGTGTGTTTTAATATTTTTGTCTGTTTTATTCTTCCTTTGTATTTATTTACCGTATTTATTTCTGCCTGTTTTTTAAATTTTTGTATGCATTTCTGCCTCATTATGCAAATGAGGAGGGGCTGTGTCTCAAGGGGTCATCTTCTCTGCTATTGGTGGACCAGTCAGACAGGAGAGCTCCTACTCTGCCTGCAGACATCAACGATCTTGCCCCTCACACAGTCAGATGGCTTCCTTCAGTGCGCTGAGGTGTTTAACAACTCTGAAGACAATACTACCAGCAATGTCTTCCTTCTCTTTTCACGTAGACGCTCCGACAGACAGTGCTTTCAGTTTGCTGCATGCATGGACACAGAACTGCGGTATAGGGAGAAGCACACGGTCAGCTGGCTGCAGCTAAATCTGGAGTG